TTCGAACACAGGTCATCAATTCCATTCCCAGTCGCCATGATCGTGCAATCGTCGGCATAAGAGACAATCGAGACTCCCTCTGGTGGTTGAGGGAGCTTTGAAATGTAAAAGTTAAACAGTAGCGGGGAAAGGACACAACCCTGAGGAACCCCCTGTTTTATTTTTCGCTGCTTACTCGTTTTGTCTCTAAACACTACCGACGAATGTCGACCACTCAGATAATTTGCCGACCACCGTTTGAGCCTCTGTGGGAGAGAGGAGGCCTCTATATCTTCTAGTAGCGTGGAATGGCAGACGGCGTCAAACGCCTTTGACAAGTCCAACGCTACTAGAATCGTTCTCTCACAGGGACGGTTACGGTTAAGGCCACGAGTTATCTGAGTGTTTATGGCGTTAAGTGCTGTTGTTGTACTGTGCACTTTACGGAAACCATGCTGATGCTTCGCTGGGGTCAGGTGGTTTGTGAAGTACGGGAGTAGCAAGGCCTCGAGTGTCTTCGTTACCGGGGAAAGGAGTGTTATCGGACGATACGAATCTCCTTTGTTGGCAGGTTTCCCCGGTTTGAGCAGTGGGGCCACTCTCCCCTATTCCAGATGTCTGGGAATGATGAGAGTGGCATAGACAGGTTGAGGACCTCCGTTAGGTACGCTACCCCCGCAGGACCCAAATTTTTCAGCATCACATGCATACTTCCGTCGGGACCCATGGCTTTGGAGGCTTTCGCCTTCCCGATGGCCACCTGAACTTCACCGCAAGTGAAAGCAAGGGGGGCACAAGTTGTTGGCAGTTTGTGCAGCCTTCTGGTCACTCGATGCTTGGCTTTGTCCACCGGAGGATGCAGTATGAACTGCCGGCTAAAATAGCTCGCGCATCGCTCCGGGTCCGACGAGGCATGGTCGCCGGAGGAAATTTCGACTCTGTCGTCGAGCTTCGTCGGATTAGACAATGACCTCACGGTTGACCAAAGCTTGCTCACACCAGAGGTGAAATTACATCAATCAATCAATCAATCAATCAATCAATCAATCAATCAATCAATCACATCAATCAATCAATCAATCAATCAATCAATCAATCAATCAATCAATCAATCAATCAATCAATCAATCAATCAATCAACAAATCAGTAAATAAATAAATGGCAAATGATAGTAGGGGAAACCTATTGCCTGAGTAGATAGACGATTCGACATTCGCGGAAGTCCGCCCGAATCTCCCGGCTGAAGCAGCTGTACTAGCAAATTACCACCTACGCCATGTCGATCTCGGGGACACTCGCATGAAGGACATTAATTTGGAGATTCGGAAGCGGAAAAAGTGGGAAGAGCACTTGAAGTCATGTAACTTCGACCCTGGTGTGAATAAGCTTTGGTCAACCGAGAGGTCCTTGTCCAACCCGTCGAAGCGCAACGACAGAGTGGAAATCTCATTCGGTTGTGGCGCCTCGTCGGACCCCAAGAAATAGATGCACAAACTGCCCAAAAATAGTTTTCACCAGCGGTGAAGTGAAGGGGGCCAGCGGGAAGGCGAAAGCCTCTAAAGCAACATTTGGGGTCCGCAGGAGTGCATACCAAACGAGGGTCCTCAACTTGTCAATGGCCACACTCATTATTCTTGATGTGTGGAAATCAGGGAGAGTGGTCCCACTGCTGTAACCGGGGAAACCTGCCAACAAAGAAGACTCCTATCGCCCGATAACGCTCCTTTCCCAGGTCGCGAAGCAACTAGAGGCCCTGCTACTCCCTTACTTCACCTACCACCTGACCCCAGCTAAGCATCAACATGGTTTCCGTAAAGTACACAGCACAACAACGGCACTTAACGCTATAAACACCCAAATAACTCGTGGCCTAAACCGTAACCACCCCTGTGAGAAAACAGTCCTAGTAGCGTTGGATTTGTCAAAGGCGTTTTGACACCGTCTGCCATTCCACGCTGCTAGAAGACATTGAGGCCTCCTCTCTCCCACAGGGACTCAAACGGTGGCCGGTGAATTATATGAGTAGTCGACAGTCGTCAGTAATCTTCCGAGATGAAACCTCGAAACCTAGAAGAATAAAACAACGGGTTCCACAAGGTGGTGTTCTCTCCCCCCTACTGTTCAACTTCTACATCTCGAAGCTCCCCCAGCCACTTCAGGGAGTTTCCCTGATCTCATTCGCTGATGACTGCCCCATATTGGCGTCTGGGAACGGAATTCATGACCTCTGCTCAAAAGTAAACGGCTATCTTTCTAGCCTTTCTCGCTTCTTCACTGCAAGGAGCTTAACACTCTCCAACGAAATCAACGGCGACCCTCTTCACCACCTGGACGAAGAAGGTCAGGCTAGAATTAGGCATTCACGTCGACGTCGACGACAGAGACGTGTAATAATTTAGCCAATTGGCGTCAGAATAAGGAATGAATAATGATTAGCAACTCAACCGTTGTTGATTACTACAGCTATTACTGCGAATTGCTGAAGTAATTGCTTCACATGTTGACTTACGTCTTGGTGGATATGGAAAGACCGTTCAGGTGACCGAACAAATGACCATCACAGTCCTTGGTTTATATTGCAAAGAAGATAAAGAAGGATTATTTTTCAAAGTCAATGCAAAGTCGAAGAATGAGTTGTGGCCATATATTTAAACATATGTTAGATCAGCAACCACTCGAATTTGCGCTGATAGTGCACGACAGTATGCAAATGTGAATGAAATACTAAGTGATGACACAATTCATCTCATGACTGATCATATAAAGTTGAATTTGCCAATAAAAAATCCTATCTAAACCATTAATGATTTGGAGAACCGGAATCGTTTATTGAAGTTTATTGGTTGTGTGCCGAAGGACACCCAAATTGCTACATAATATATGACTATATTTCTATCGCAGACATCAATAAGAAAAAAAATCATGGAAAGGATAGTGAAGCACATAATATGCAATTTCTTCTTTATCCAGGTATCGTGAATGGAGAAAACAGAGTGGGATTCTGTTAGAGTTTGATCCTCCAACTGTTGAGTCTGAAAGTTTTATTTATTTATTTGTTTGCAGCTATAATCTAGAAAATATAAACATTTCCTTACAGACTATTTTCAGTTAACAATTGCAATGGAATTACTAATTAAACTAGTTCATTCAGGAACTGCTTAAACCTAGGAAACTTAACTAACTGCTTAAACTTAGGTAATGAAACATCAATGTCGGCAGAATTTTTGAGCGTATTAAATTCCTTCATCGTTCTGGCAATTGGCGCATTAGAAGCATATATTGTTCTTACTCGATCTAATACAAAAATATCATGGTTTCGAAGGCTTCTAGATGGAATGTTAAAACAAATACGTTCTAGTAACAGTGGCGAGTCAATCGCACCACGTTTTACATCAAAAACAAATGGCAATGAAAGGATAGTTCTTCTACTATTTAAGGATTTTAACCCTGGCATTCAGTAAGCGGTCTCTAGTCACTAATAGTGACTTCTGGTGGTGAACTTGGATTTTGAGACTATTTGGTATTCAGTACGCTGTCTCACGTCTCTAGTCTCCAAAAATAAGTCACTACTTTGTCAGCTGGCTAACAGCAGGTCACAAAAATAGAAGTATGGAGGAAAAGCTTATTTCTTTCCACTTTATTAAAAAAAACGCGAAAATTAAGCGAGGAAATTTGTTCAACAAGAATTTCATTAGGAAATAAACCAAAATGCTTTAATATCATACAAATGTATTGAAAAAAAAAATTATTTCTTTGTGTTTAAAACATTAAAATCTAAAGATTGTTAAAAAAAAAATAAATCTAATAAAAAAATACTAAAAACAAAATAAAAAATCCTCTACGCCCGAGGAGGACTTGAACCCGGACCCTCTCGGCTGCCAGACTAATGCTTTGACCACTCGGCCATTGCGACTCTTTGAGCGGCGCGGGCAAAAGGCATACATAAACGCTATCAGTTGATTGTCTGTGTTTGCTTTCACCACACATTTTTGGTGAACTTTTTTTGACTCTCTCCTTCTGAATACCCAAATCGTCTCAAGTCACAAAAATAGCCACTAATTGCTAATCTCAAATTTAGTGACTTGAGATGAGACTGAATTACTGAATCCCAGGGTAAGTTAATTAGCTGACACTTAGCATTATAGGAAGGTATCGGCTCTTGAAAATGCAGCCACCGTAGAGCAAAGTGCAAAAAAGCTTTTTGAAAACGCTCAAGTCATTTTAATGACAGTCATCATAAGTAGTTTTAGCGTATATGGATCAGTGAAATCCGTGCTAAAACGGCAAACGAAAGCAAACCTAGAGTAGGATTTTGCGATAATGTAATTCAAATGACTATAAAAAAGAAATTTGGTACCAAAAGCTACTCCAAGATCAGATATTTCATTAACATAACACAACACAGAGACTCCAACATAGTAGCTGGTAGGGATAAGTGATCGAGATTTTGAAAACGAAATATAAAAGCATGTTTTAATATTTAGATGCAAATGATTCCTACTACACCAAGCTGCCGCATTGTCAAGATCCGATTGGAGTTTGATCGAGTCAGAAAGACTCGTGACAAAAAATTAGAGTATCTAAAGCAATGCCGTAAGTTATTAATAAAAATGACAAGCAAAAGAGGTCCGAGGACACTACCTTGCGGGACACCAGATAACGCAATAAAAGAACGTGAACAAATACCATCCACAACAACAACACAACAACGTTCCGCCAAGTATGACTTCACCCAAGACAAAAAACTAGAATGAAAGTCAAGGTCGGCTAGCTTAGACATTAAGAGTGAATGATTTACTTTGTCAAAACTCTTCGAAAAATCGGTATAGACCGTATCGACTTGAGCTCGATTCTGAAAGGCAAAAAGCCTTAACTGCAGAGAATATGTTTTCCTTAACTATAATTTTAAACAATTTTGACATGGTAGAAAGTTTAGAAATACGCCGGTAGTTGGCGATGTTATTTTTATTTCCACTTTTAAAAAGGGGAGTGATAGAGGTTACTTTCCAGGCCTCAATGAACCCACTGTCATTATGAGACTTATTAAATATTAATAAAATTGGGTAAGCAATTGCTGAGACATTCTTAAACAAGTAAGAGCATAAGCCATCTACATCCGTTTGATATGATGATTTGATCATCAAAATGCCTCTAATGACATCCTCAATGGTTAAGGAGAGCTCTCCAAAATTGATAGGGGAATCAAGGCTAGAAGCACCATCATCACTTAAGTTCGAATCAGGCTCAAAGTTTGAACTGAAAAGTCCGCAAAGAGATTGGCGGCTTCAGAAGACGAATGGGCACGGGTTTCATTATAAAACACTTGCGACGGGATACTTGAATACGAGTTTGTTGATTTGACATAATACCAAAAAGATTTTGGGTTTAGATTCAAATTTAGCCACATAGTTTTTATGGAGAGTCTTACTCCGTGATTTAAACTTACTGGAATAGTATAAATACTTTTCCTTGCGGAAAGACGAATTGTACTTTTTGAAAAACCTATTCTTTAAATTCTTAAGCTTCTTTAAATCCTTTGTATACCAAGGGATTTTGTAGCAATTTCTTTTCTTCAACGGGATAATACTCGTACAAATTTCATTAACTTTGGATTTAAAAATATAAAAGCAGTCGGTAACATCAACCCCAGCAAATATATAGTCCCAGTCTAGAATACCAATTATATCATTCATAACATCAAAGTTACAGTTCCTCAAACTGTAATTTTTAGATGGAGTATCAAGTTTAATGCTTCTGAACTCATAAAACTCCAATTGCAGAACAAGAGGAACATGATATAGGCCTGGGCACGACAGAGGGTCGAGACATTGATGTAGAGTAGGGTTGCCCAAATCAGCACATATGTGTCGCGGGCGACTGCGCGTGCAAAGCTTTGCACAGCAGTGCTGGGCAAGCGCGGATGCAAAAAGTTATCGGAAGGGGAAAACGAAGTCAACAGAATAGTGAGATTGTATGTGTGACAGTGATGGAAACTGAGTGTGCATTGTGCCATTTTCGGCCCTTTCGGAAGCAGCCGGCACCTTCAGCACAATCCATTGATTTTCGGCACTATTTTTGCGTAACTCAACGGAACTAATAAATATTTCTTTCGGATCCGCAATTAAAAATATTTTTTTTTACATTTAATCGAATGTGCTCAAACTGATTAATGATATAAACATAGAAACGCAAGCAGAAGAATCTCGCTTCCTCATTCTGCATATGCGCTTAACATTTTTATTTAAACAAGTTTGTCGAAATTTCATCTCTAAAGCAAATATTAAATATCATTTAATATATATGTACTTTATATTTAAATAATCATTTTTAGTGGCGGGCGAGTCCGAGATGTTTAAATTATCGAGATAGTACATTCAATTTGCGTAGATTTTTCCAATTTGTATAAAGGAAATTAAAAAAAATATTAAAAATCAACATGAATTCTTAGCTGCACTTTCACTTTATAATACTAAAATTGAATCGACTATAAAATTGCATAACGTCAGTTGGTGTCGAACACTCAAGCGGTGAGGATGTGATCGCGCTTTTATTGATTTTATTGCCGTCAACAAGCATTTTCGTAAAAGCGCTAGCACAACCTCATCAACAAAATTATTATTAATGGATAAAAGGGACATCTTTCTTCATTCGGTAATAAGTTTTGACATTTTAATGGCATTTCAAGTGCTTATCAAAACTTTACGACTCTCACATATTGACAAGATTTGACCATTTATCTTAATATTATGTATTTTTTTATAAAAATACAGTTTATACTTAAAAAAAATCCGTACAAATCCAAGGTTCAATCTTTTTANACCAAAAAGCCAAAATAATTAGAATTCAATGCTTGGTGCGGTATTTAGTGATGCTTTTTTAATTGAAGCACACCGAATGCATACATAGGTACATATGTATGTATGTATACAATATACACTAATGTTCTACATTAAGATGGAATTCATTTACTGAATAAAATGTGAGGAATAGATAAACTAAATATGTTTTGCGTTGCTATAAATGTATTGAAATTAATTTATTAATAAAATCGTGAGGAAATAGATATGTATATACACTTTTTACTGAACCAAAAAAAATATTAAACATGATAATAAAAACTTGGCGCTTTTGTTTTATAAANCTTATTATACTAGAATGAATGGGCTACAAAAATTTTAACCCAAAACATGTGTTAAAATTCTGAACAAAAACTGTGAAAATTTGATGAAACTTTGTTGATTTTTTTCAATCTTTCAAGTTGGGATTTATTTGCAAGGTTTTTGTTTGACAATGAGCTACAATTTTATAAAAAAAAATAATTAAAATTATTAAAAAAAAAATAAAATAAATACCGGGTGACCGTGTAATTTTGTCAAAGATGAAGACAATGATGATAAAACATTAATACACTATATAGTTCAGTTCATATTAATGAACATAAAATGAGATCACTATCGATAAAATGGAAATTCTCAAAGGAAATTTTAATTTCAACACATGGAATTTACATACATTTTTTTACTTTCAACCCCCGAATTGCTCAATTACTTCTATTTCTGCAGGATCACCATTAGGTAAATTGCATTTCCAAAGATTTTTTCAAAATAAATAGCGATGAGGAATATTTCACCCGCCGGTGATAAGAAATCGCAATCACCATAACGCATATCACTAATATTACTGTTCACAATCACGTTTACATTCAAAATTACAATTCATAATTTCGTTTTGTAGCAAATATGAAATATTGGTATATCCATTTACTTAAATGTAAACGGATTAAGAATCAAAGTGCTAGAAGAGATTTGAGCGTTTGGTACAAAAAGTATTTTTGATGTTGAAATTGTACTTAAAATCGGCAAATTGTACTTTTGTACATTTTAAAATTAATTGTAATGAAAAAAGTACAATTGTACTTAAAATATCAACACTGTTTCACTGGCGTGACAAAGCACTTGCTGCAGCGATGTCGGATTTGAGCGTACCCAATTTTTTACCGATAATAACTCATGCGAGGGATTTGGGTATTGGGCATTTTACAAGCCTATTAGGAAGTATACATATCTGTGTTCGTATAGAATAGTGGCTTATGTCGGAAGACTGGCTTTAGTACAATGAACCATTCGCAGCATACGAATGCGAAAGACTCACTGGCGCCGAGTCGTTGAAGAACTCTTGGAAAATAAACGTAAAAGACGGTAATGTTAATGGCGATGCTAGCAAGTCAATATTCGTATAAAGTTTCATAAAAAAAATTCCTTGTGGTTTAAAGAATATAGGAAATGGTACATTTTACTAAAGCCAGCCTCCCGACATAAGCTACTATTTCATACGAACACAAATATATTCGTCTACAAATAATGTTGATTATTTTAATTAAGTCCTAAGATAAGTTTGTGAATCTTATCAGTGTTCTATGTAAGAACCAAAAATCAATACCCTCGCCAATTAGAACTTTTGCTTTAAAAGAAAAATATACATAGCGC